GCAGAACTACAGCAGTATCTACTCAGACAATGATTCTCCTGATAAAGGCTGGCATACCTATAAAAGATGTGATTTAACAACAATTTCTACTTCCTTCCCATCTGGGATTAACTGGGACAAATTTGAACTTTACACATGGGTTTGGAAATGCCTGAGACAGAAAGCAGTTCAGAATACCCACTATTCATTTAAAGAGAGAGCAGGACATGTGTTCTGAGCATGTAAGATAGAAAATAATAAGATTTTCTGGAGGCCAAAGGTAAAGCAACAACAGCTCATGGAAGGGGTTGGTGACCACAACCATATTACTAGAGTGATAATCTTGGACAAGAAAAATGCTTTCTTTTTTCAGAAGCCAGGAATTAGTAGAGACCCCAAGAAGATAAGCCTCATAACTGTGACTAGACTCTAGGTTGACTAGAAGGACAAAAGCTGGGTCTTAGAAGAAAAGAACTATTAATACATTGTTTAGATCAGATTTAGGGTAGATACAGAGAGAAATGGGCTAAAGAGAGCTTAATCTGGGCAAGGCATGGATGATGGATTGGCCCTTTAAAACTGATTCAAGACACTTGACTGGAGGTGCCCATCCAAAAAACTTTGGAAACACAAGCCAAAATGCCAAATGTTAGCCAATGCAGTATAGAGGTGGACCTTGAAACTCTCATGCCTAAGTAAAGTGTATCCATTTGCTTCAACTGACCCAAGTGGAATGGGCTGACTGAATTAATGTAGGGGCCAGTTATGGAGGTGGAAGGTAAAAGGAGATGTCATAATGAGGAGTGATTACACAAAGAGGAGCCAAGTCAAACAGCTGGGGCTCAAGGTGCCCACTTCCTGGCACTGTGATCTTTAGCAAGCTTAATTTTCCCCATCTGTAAAATAGGGGTGAAAGAGTACTTGCCTCAGGTTATGAGGAGGTGAGAAGAGATATGAAACGTGGGAAGAACAGTATCTGAATTTCATCATGGCCACACAGAAAGGGAAAAGACTGACTACTGGAATATGACGGCTGTGCGCATGTGTGCACACACACTAAAATTTCTGGATAATTCAGCTTTATAGCGTCAGAGTTAAAAAAAAAAAATATGGACCACCTTAGTTACCCTAAAATGGTGGAGGCAGCTGTAGCTGTACTAACAAGATTATGAAAAATAAAAAGTTTGCTAAAGTGCAGAATCCATAGCAAATGTCTCTAAAGGTCCAACTGAGAGGTTATCTAGAGCATTTTGAAGAGGATTAAGATTTTTTAAAGAAAAACTCTTCATTATTTTCCTGACAGTTTTTTAATCTCTAGAAAATGCCTGAAGCTTTAACCAAATCCCAGTTGGAAACTTCTACAGCTCCAAATGATGTGTAAGGTCTTGCCAAGAACACACTCATTGCATGGACTTTGAAAATGAATGGCCTGCACTGGCTACAAGACCAACCATAAATTAATATCAAATAGAAAACATGCTGTGGAAGCAATATCAACAAAGTATATGAGCTGAAGCAACTAGAGACAGGACAAATGAAGCCCCACACCACATGAATGACTTGGAGCATGGCAAATGGGAGGCATGGTACAGAACAAAGTGCCAGACATTAAAAACGATCAGAAAATGAAGATTATTCCTCTGGGAAAAGAGGAAACAAGAAGAATGTGGTTTTAAAAAATTGCTTGGGTAAGGCTGGGCACAGTGGCTCACGCCTGTAATCCCACCACTTTGGGAGGCCAAGGTGGGTGGATCACTTGAGGCCAGGAGTTCGGGCCAGTCTGGCCAACATGGCAAAACCCCATCTCTATTAAAAGTACAAAAATTAGCTGGGTGTGGTGGCACATGTAATTCCAGCTACTCGGGAGACTGAGGTAAGAGAATTGCTTGCCATGAGCTGAGACTGTGCCACTGCACTCCAGCCTGGGGGAAATAGGGAGACTCTGTCTTGAAAAAATTTAAAAGGTAAAATGAAAAAAATTTCTTCAATAGACCACAGGCCTTAGAGCAAAAGCAATAAGAAGAACATTCAATCAAGAATTGAGGGGCTCAGTGGGGGTAGGGAGAGAAGAAGTTAGGAAAACAAATAAAACATAACAGTAGGCCACAACAGTGTGGTAATTTTGGAGAATGAATGATCATATGGCTGAAGTAATCAGCAATGGTTGCATTAAATATGAATCTGGAAAGTAACCAATACTTTTTTTCATTTCACTTGAAATTGCACAACTATTAGTACAAGAACCAGAGTGAGATGTTGCCTGAAACATGGAACAGAGAAAACTAAAGTGCCTTAATATGAAAAAAAAAAAAAATCCTTTCAAAAGGCAGGCTGATAGATATTTATTAACATAGCAAAACAAATCTGCTAATCAGAATGGAGTTATTCTCCAGAAAGCATGAAAACATACAGTTATAGGAGCACAGTCAGGCACAGACAAAGGTTCCCTGAGTCAGTACCCTTTTAGTATTATGGTTGCATTGGTACCATCACCTCTGTCATGTCTCTTTGGAAGGTGGACACAGCAGGCTGTCTTAGCTGGACGCCTTTTACATATTCAGGCACCTAGCTCACTAGCAACTGCCAGATTATAATTGGCAGCCCAGGCAGATTGGCATAAAGGGACAGAATGCATAGCTTAGGTCAATATGTGCCTTCCAGTTGAACTGAGGCTGTATTTATCTTTTAAATGACTAAAGTGACATCATGCTATAATATAATAGTTTCCTGAATTTGGATAAATTGGATATGAAGTCATCCCTGTGAGATGAAGTTTCTTTGGTGTGCTGAACATACCGTATTTCTTAGTCTCTTATACCTAAAAATAAGACCCTGGGTCCCACATTCAGTAAATTTACCAAAATAATAAATACCACCTTTGGGGGTCAGGGGAGGGAGTCCTTTGCAGTAGCTAATTATTCTTCCTTAAGTGACAACCTCCTGTACCACCATTAGCACTGAGTACCTTCCTTCTTGAAATTTAATAGACACAGGGGCACATACACTCACACGTGTACAGACACATGCTATAATTAGAAGATAACCAGGAAGGAGCATGGGGGATGGGATGATCTTTTTTTAATTTCTAGGTTTAAGAAAATGCAGACAGACAGCATTGAGGAACAATTATTTCCTACTTGAATTATTGCAACTACAGCCAAACAGAAATTAATGTGCATCTCTGGATAATATATATTTATCCAAGTTAATTAGACACCACGAGTATGGAAACAGACATGTTGCTACAATCTCAGAGACACAAATAAATCATACCACATACCTACACACAAGTAATATAAAAACTTGAGAACTATTACCTAAAAAGACAATATTTTAAACTTAAATGTCATATCTAACTCATGAAAAGGCACTTGCCAAAAGCTCTGTGCAAAGCTGAGAGAGGTGACAAAGTAAGGGCTACATGAAAAACTCACAGAGACTTTGAAAACTCTGCAGAGCAAGTGGTGAATGTAATATTCACAGGTACCACTACATTATATTTCGCTTTGAAGAGGTCAAAAGAGGGGGCATTATTTACAACACCAGTTGCAGTTTTGTCTTTCTTTTGAGCCTCTGATTAAATTTTTACCCTTTTTCCTTTTGAAAATACTTCGGTATTTACTTTTTTCATTTAGTTGTTCTTTATTGCTAATAGCGAGGCTGTTTCTGTTCCCATTCACAAATCACTTCTACACCTTTTCAACATCCCTTCAAATTGCTTCTCAAAATAATTATAGTGCTTCTCAATATAATTATCCATCATTTATGGATGAAATGATATGAAGTCTGGGAGTAAGGAGGGGAAAGAGGGGATATGGGTGAAACAAAGCTGGCCATGAGTTGATAACCACTGGAGCTGGGAAATGGGCACACAGGAGTTGGTTGTGCTATGTTCAAAAATTTTCAAAATGAAAAAATTTTTAAATAAAACTTTCATTATAGTTAGATCATGTACCTTGTGACAATAACTTTCTAGTGAAGGACATTATCATAAGTTAAGCTAAAGTCAAAAGAAAGTATATCTTTCTCATTGGCACAAGTGCAATTTAAACCTAATCCACAATTCTTTATAGCATTTTGAAGTACCTTACCCTAAAGACATGTACAATGAGGCCAGGTCCTTTTCTAAATCCTCTCACTTAGCATGTCAAACATAGAACCACCTAGGCTACTGTAGTTACTCTTATGTAAGTTAAAGTTTAGCTATAAGCTTCTTGGCAATCAAGGTAAAAAGGGAACCATATTGAGTAATAACATTTATATTCAGATAAAAGAAAATATCGAATAGGTTTTTTTTCCCTGACATTAAATTCTAATGTATAAATTATTTTTAGTGTGTTTTTTATTGTAACACAAAGAACACTATATAACATAATGAACATCATGGCTTCACAGATGAAGCATTTCTCAAACAGTCAGTCCTTGAATCAATTCTTCCTAAACACCAAGGGCTTTTTATGCTTGGTTCAGTGAAGGCAAAGCAACTCGGCTCTACAGGAGCCCAGATACGTACTCTTTGATATCAACTATCAAGTTAGAAATAGGAACACATTATTTAAAGGAGAAAATGGGGAGCATTCCCATAATTCTTGAATAGACTTTTCTCTACCTAATTTAAGTCAATTCAGAATTACACCTTCTGGTGAGAGTCCAATTTACAAATTATAGAAAGTTTCGTATTCTTTGGATTTGGGAATGAGTTTTCACAATGACCTTCCAGTCATATATGTAACTTTTGTAAATTTTTGTATATTTACATATATATTAAGGCTTTCTTAATCTGAGAACTAAAACAGAAAGGGGCCATAGACTAGGTGTGGATGTGTGTAAGTTCCAGATGCATCCCTACTAATTTATGTGGCCTTGAGCAAGTAACTTAAACTCTTCTGAGGCTTATTTCCACATCTAAAAACTAGGTTATCCAACTAAACGTTTCCATTACTTTGAGGCACTAACAGGCCCCTCTAATCTCTGTGAATATGAAAATCTCAAGGTGCCATTTAGTGTGTAGTTTATCTCACCAGGATTATATCTGGATCACTCTTGCTGTTCTCATCTTCAGTCAATACCTGACATTCCTCTACAAGGTTCAGACTCTGCTTCCTTTTCATTTTCCAAGAAGTGGCCTATAACAAGGAATTAACAAAAAAATATACAACAATTAGTGGCAAGCAATGGTGTACATTAAACTACCTTCACTCTTTACTTCATTCTGCCTCTACTTACCACAGACTTTTGTAGCATATATAGCAAAAATTCAATTTCTGATCTTTGCATATGATCAGCATGTGGTAAGATTTACTGAGAGTATATCTGCCATCCTAATTCCATGCTGCTTAGGTTAATTTTTTTTTTTTAGATGGAGTTTCACTCTTGTTGCCCAAGCTGGAGTGTAATGGTGTGATCTCGGCTCACTGCAACCTCCGCCTTGTGGTTTCAAACAATTCTCCTGCCTCAGTCTTCCGAGCAGCTGAGATTACAGACCCCTGCCACCACGCCTGGGAAATTAGCTTATCTTTCTAAGAGCTGATATGCAATCTGTTTCCATTTCTTCATGTTCCACTTACCAGTCAATTCATTACTTTTAATGGCAAAAAGAGCAATTACTTTTACACCAAACTATAATCTGGTTTCTACCCTTTCTACTCCAACAACAACAAAAAACCCTGAGATCATTCCTCTTACCTCTAAATCCTTAAGTCAACAGATAATTCTTCGGCCACTGGCCAGTTGAGTTGACCCCTCAACTGAATTTAGGCTTCATGACAGCCTCTCTTCAAATCACCCTTTTCCCCCTTTTGGTTTTAAAGAAATAACACATTCCTGGTTTCTTCTCTTAGTGCTCTCGCAATTCCTTCACGATCATCTGTGCACATCTGTACTCTGGTAGGTAGCCACAAAATGCTAAAATTCCTCAAGTTTCTGTCGAGTCCTTCCTTTCTTCTTACCCATTCAACCTCACTCATCCTAAGGTATGCAAATACCTCAAAATATTGTCTCCTACTTAAACCTCACCTCCAAAATCCAGACTCATATAATATGTGACTTTTCACTTGGCACATCCTCTTGGCAGTCTCAAACAATGTAAGCTAAACTCATGCTCATGCTCTTCTCCAAAAGCCCAGTCACCTTCTACAATCCCCTGTTTCAATGAATGGAATTACCATTCAACCTGGTGAAAGAGCTCAAAATTGTGTAGTCATTCTTGCTGTTTTCCTCTACACGATCCTCTATACCTAATAAAGCCTAACCCCCCAGAAAAGGGCAGGGTTACCTCCTCATCACCATCATCCTAGCCCACACCACTGTGATCTCCATCAGAGCATGGACAAGTCTCCTAACTGCTCTGCCCACATCCACTCTTGTTAAGCATTATTTCAGTTCCAGAGGATGAGTCTCAAAACTTCTGCTCATTGTATCTTGGTTATGGGAGTTGCCAAAGAAAACACAATGCAGGCAAGCACTAGATGGAACAATGCTTTACTCACGTAGAGAAGAGACAAAGCAAGATCCGCTGCAGCAGCGTGTATCAGGCCCCCATGCCCAGCAGGCTCCCCATCAGCCAATGCTGGGCAATTGGCTACACGCACCCCTCTCGTGCTATAGGAGGAAGATGTCATGCTCCCTCCCCAAGGAAGATGGATACAGCAGTGGGATTGACCAAGGTTTCATGTGACACACACATTTAAGCAGATAAAAGAGCATACATTGGACTTGCAACAGAAAAAGATATCTCCACACAAGGGGATAAACCCAGCATAGGCCATGTGTGTCCCAAGGAAATGTCCCAGGCTCAAGGTCCATTCTTATGTAGCCAAGTGGAGGTCAAAATGCTATACCCCTGAGACTGTCTTTCCCAACAACTCAGCTCTCTATACCAATCTTTCTTTATACTCAGCCAAAGCCAACTTTACTAAAGAAAAATCTGGTCATGTCACTTTCCTACTTAAAACTCTTCAATGGCTTCCCATTGCTTATAGGATAAATGTAAAACCCCTTATGGGTGGCTTATAGGACCTGCCCTACTCCACACCACAGTCCCTTTCCATCTCTTTTCCCTGCCATAGATTACTTGTCTATTAAAAATTCTTCATATTCACCATGTTCCCTCTTTAGCAAATGCTGTTTCCATTGTTTAGAAGTGTCTTTCCTCCCCTTTTACTAACTTAATTACATTTTAATCCTAAAAGGCTAGTTACCATCTTTTCTGGGAAGAGGTTTCTGTCCTACCAGAGTCAAAATCCCTTATCCTAAACACTCATGCTACTGTCTCATAAAAACTGCCATAGTAGCAGTTGACATCTGTCTCTGTAATTATTGGGTGTCTGTCTTTATCATTAGACTGTAAGTTTGATGGTGGCAGAAACCATATGTGGTTTTGCCCACAATCCCTTGTGACTGGCATACAGAATGGCACATAGTAAAATTATATATATACAGACACATGTATGTATATATCAGTATATGTATGTATATCTACATGAAGTGTGTGTATATTGTTTCATATAGCTTTACATTTTATATGTGTATGCACACACACACTCACACATACACACACATGTTATACTGAGTGAGTCCCTGTATTTAATGTCTAAAATGTTTTGTTCTAACACTTGGATACACTCTCAACTTCTCAACAGACTGTATGTTTTTGGAGCATGCAACATATCTATACAATAAACTGACAAATTCTAAATATTGAAATTGCACAGCTAATGAGTTTTTCTGGAATTCAGAGTGAAAAGAGATGTGATTATAAAGTGATAACATGCAGGAGTTCCAACACGGCAAGGATCGAATATCTGCTGAATACATAAAACATTCAAGTATAATACATAATTCAAATCAACAAAAAAACTGAAATTCTGTAGGTTGTAAACAGATGCGGCTTGGTTCATATAGAAAAGATTTGGGGCAAAAATTTCAAAATTATAGGGAAATGGATTTGAAATACTTTAAGAGGATGAGCTGCCAAAAATAGCATTAAGAAAAGGAGGTAAGGATTTTCACTAAAGAATTTCAGAGTCTGTATACCATTTGCCAAAGATATTATAAAGGAATGCGTGAGACATTTCTATAATGTAACTACTGTTCAAAATAATGCCTTAGAACCATGCTTAAAATATCTTGCCTCCCACTATGACTAATGCAGTATCTGTTTTTGTTTTTGTGACAGAGTCTCGCTCTGTTGCCCAGGATGGAGTGCAATGGCACAATCTCAGCTCACTGCAACCTCCTCTTCCCAGGTTCACATGATTCTCCTGCCTCAGCCTCCCAAGTAGTTGGGATTACAGGTGCCTACCACCACGCCCAGCTACTTTTTTTTTTTTTTTCATAGAGACGGGGTTTTGCCATGTTGGTCAGGCTGGTCTCGAACTCCTGACCTCAGGTGATCCACCTACCTTGGCCTCCCAAAGTGCTGGGATTACAGGCGTGAGCCACCACGCCCAGCCAATGCAGTGTCTTACACTGGGCAGAACTCAGTAGATACTTGCTAATTAAATAAGTTTATGGCTTTCAGAGCCTATAGCAGTTCATTTGAATATTTTCTATGGTGGATAATCTCTACTCTTTAAGGTTGAATTTAATTTGTGGCAATAGAAAAAGGGTATTAGAAGTCAAATGTGATAAACAAGGTAGATAAACTAGGCAGTAAATTTTGGCTTAAAAAGATACGAAAGGAAAGTTACTGAGATGATGTCTATAACCATTCAGCACTGAACCTAGCACAAGGTAAACGCCCATTCAATTGTAAGCATTAATATTGTTCTAAACTGAATTTGAGGGAAAATTCTCAAAAAAGAATTAAATACTGGCAGCTTTGTAAGAATAAATGTGTTACGATTCTTTTGAAAGAAACTGATTTGGATAAAGGAAAATTCTAGAGGGGTGCATTTGTTAGCATCACTCTTAACACTTAGTAATACATTAACATTACATCCCATTTTTTCAGAACCTTGATTGCAGGGTCACAATATATATGATTTAGCTAAGCGTTTTCCTATAAAGTATTGAATGCAAAACTTAAAAGTATTTATCCTATATGAATATTTCTCCCTTAAATACGAATTTTAAATCCTTTTCCCACATGGGCATTCTTCTGGGGCCCTTCAGTCAATTGAGCTCTCCAGACACTGGTGATATTAGCAATCTGAATTTTCTTTCAAAACAGAGAATACAGAAAGAAAACTATAAATTGGGACCTTGTCCAGGAATTACACATTGCAATGTATATTTTATAATTAGTGTCTTAAAATGTGAAAATGAAGCAAACCTTGACCGAATGCCATTTCCAAAATGAGTGAACTGTCTTTTTGAACAGGAAACAATAATAATACCTGGGATCTCTCAGCTAGTTTAACATTTGCTGGCAGAGCTACAGGAAGTCTCTGCTGTTGAGAGTTCATTTTCTCCTCCATAGACTTTTTCATAATTTTAGTTTCTGAAATATGCTCTACATCAGGGTCTGTCTCTTCAATGTTTATTTTCTGGCCTCTATGGCTCACTGAAAGCTGAAAGAATGAAAGAGATTCATGCTTCAAGTCATCGCCCAAAAGTCTGATTTTCTGGGTTTTGTTATTTTCCTTAAATAACAAAAAACATGTTTTTATTTTGGATAGACACCTTATTTATAATTCATTACTTCTCTCATAACCTCATTATATTAGGTATTTCTTATTACTAATAAAAAGTTTAAAAAATCAAAAGCTTAGAAACAACTTTAGCAAATGTATAATGCCACAATGGCTCATTCAGAATTTGATTCATAAATAGCTGCAGAGTTGTGCTGAGTCAAGAAATTTGACTTCAGGGATAAAAAAAGTCCCCGCCGTGAGAACACACTGTGCATTCTGACTTCCTCGCAATAGATGTTCACTTGCCTTTGGCTCCCACTGCAAACAAGGCTGGCCTTCATCTCTACCCACATCCACAACCTGCTTCCTGCCCCTTGCTAGCTGCTACTGCAGGCAATGAAAGATATATTTGCTAAGAGATCTAGAATACATGTGCCTGCTTGTATAAGAGCCTACTCTCTTTTGTAAGAAACCAAAAATAGGGCAGGCACAGTGGCTCAAGCTTGTAATCCCAGCACTTTGGGAGGCCAAGGCGGGCGGATCATGAGGTCGAGAGATGGAGATCATCCTGGCCAACACGGTGAAACCTCATCTCTTACTAAAAATACATAAATTAGCTAGGCGTGGTGGCACATGCCTATAGTCCCAGCTACTCAGGAGGCTGAGGCAAGAAAATCGCTGGAACCCAGGAGGCAGAGGTTGCAGTGAGCCAAGATCATGCCACTGCACTCCATCTAAAAACAAAACAAAATAAAAAATCAAAAATAACTATTAGGAGAGGAGTTGAGGGCAGAGCACTGAGTGACACTCTAGTTTTCCTAAGCATATCATTATTCTTCACAGCCTTGGAGAACACTAGTCAGGCAACCCTCTCCGCTACAGTGCTGAGGGCTCAATGAAACTCTTTAGCTCTCATCTTCCTTCACATAAACCACCATCATTTTTAAAGTTGTGATATAGTTGAGTATACTAGTTTGTTCATGGCTAAGTCGAATCTCAAGGCATGAGACAATGTTATTACAGAGGACTTACAATGACATGTTACAATCTATTTCCCATGGCAAGTTACTTGTAGGTGATTTTTACTGCTCTCCACTCCAGAAGAATCCCTTTCTTCATCTTGCTCTCAGACTCTGGTGATAATTTATTATAAAATGAGTAGATCCTAAGCCTGGTTCTGCAATTCAAGTATGTGGTGATCTTAGATAAATTACTATAAAAAGAGGGAGTTGGATTATAAGACCATACCAGGTCCAACTCATTACTGGGTTCATTGGTCTCTGATTCCTTGATACAGTAGCAAAAGGTGAAAATTAAAACACGCACACACACACACACACTAAAAAGACAGTATGGAAACGACTGTTCCAATATTTAAAATGAATAGTAAAGAAATGCCAAAGATAAGAAATACATTATGTATGTCTATCAGAAATCTATTTATTTAAAGGTTGGCTGAGTTTGTAAATCCCATCAACTGCCTGTAAAGAAATGTGAATAATTAAAATTACAGAGTTCCATATTTTTGTGTGGGACTGATATAACTGAGAAGCTCTAACTAAAGGTTCAAAAATCTTCCTCTCTAAATTTTAAATTCTAAATAAAAACAGACATTTGAGGAATATAATGTAATATGACATTTAGCAAATACAAGAAATGATATAGGAGCTATATATACAATATATTTCTAGGCAAATACACATCAGTAGACAAAAAAATACATATGCATATATCCCTAGAAAGTACTGGAAAGAAATACATTATTTTAAAAGGCTACTGTATGCAGGCAGTAAGATAATAGGTGATTTAATCTTGTTTATATTTTATTTTCTAATTTATCGCTAATTAACATGTATCACTCTAACAAGAATAAAATGGCAGTTAAAATCTATTAGCACTTCACTGTGTGAACCTCATAAACCGTGATGACATTTTGGCCCTTGATAAGGCTTATCCTTCACAGGGTTAAAACATGATACAAATTACTTAATCCTACATTAATTACTCACCTTAGTTGCTGAAGTTACGCAGGTGGAAGTCAACTCAGAGATTTTGTCCACTGGTATAAATTGAGGCTTTATGGGAAAACAAACCATTAAGGCAAATGTAAGTAAAAATAACCCTCAATTGGCATAGGGTAATAATTCAGCATTCTTTATTTCTTACAGAAGGGGCAAGATAGCAAACCCTCATGAATAATTGTTCAGGAGGGCATTTAAGTTTAGATATACTGCAATAATGTTCTGATTAGTAGTGACTAGACAGTGCAAGAAAAATCCAACGGTTTGTTGAAGCATTATGGATCAAACGTCTTATGAACAAGGCACCGCTCTGTTAAACTGGGTCTCATTTCAGCCTCCACAGCCCTTGTCTTTCTTCTACCAAGTCCCTCTGTTCCCCACCTGCAGGGTCCAGGGTCTGGAAGGAATCCTGACCTTAGGCAGCAGCACTGTCTAGTTCAGAGCTCTGGGCCTCACCTTCAATGGACTCTCAAGGGTAAACTGGCCCTGACTGTGTCCCTAATGCACTCAATGTCCAATCACACTTACTATTCCTCAGGCTTGTTTTCATGTTTCCATACTTTGACCTGAAATGACTTTTCCAATCTTGTCCATTTGTCGAATTCCACTCATCCTTCAAGTCTCAGTTTAAATATTATCTATCCTGAAGGTCTCCTCCGTTTCCCCAGAGGAGAATTAATTGCTTTCTTCTATGCCCTCATGGCATTGTTTCTCTTTACATGTTTATAGGGGTAATATAGCCACATGTGACAACACCTTTTTTGAGGCGGAGTCTCACTCTGTCGCCCAGGCTGGAGTGCAGTGGTGCAATCTCGGCTCACTGCAACTTCGACCTCACAGGTTCAAGCAATTCTCATGCCTCAACCTCCTGAGTAGCTGGGATTACAGGTGCCGGCAACCACGCCCAGCTAATTTTTTGTATTTTTAATAGAAACAGGGTTTCACCATGTTAGCTAGGATAATCTCTATCTCCTGACTTTGTGATCTGCCTACCTTGGCCTCCCAAAGTGCTGGGATTATAGGCATGAGTCACCGCATCTGGCCGAAAATACATTTTTAGAAGTATATTAAAATGAAACCTCTTTACTACTTCATTCTCCACTTGTCTAATTCATAATCCACTAACATGTGACCACTGCTACTACTGTCTTCTTTGTCTTTCTGGAGATTTGTTTATATATCATATACAAGCGTGTGTGTGTGTGGGGGGGTTATTTATAAACTTTTCCCACTTTTTGTCATGGGAAAGATGGTAGTGTATTATAGACATGGTCTGCATTTGTGCTTTTTCATTTAAGGATATATCTTAGAGGTCTTTCTCTTTTAATACATAAAGAGCTTCTTTATTCTCTTCTACAGCAGATTATATTCCAATGTATTGTTGTACAAAAATGTATTTAATCACGTTTGTTGACAGACATTTGGATCTTCTCAATCTTTTACTATACAAACAATTTTGCAGTGACCAACCTTGTAAATAGGTAATTTCACATTTGGGTGAATATGCCTACATAATCAATTTCCCCAAAAGGGAAATTTCTGGGTCAAAAGGTACATGCCTTTATAATTTGGATAGATACTGCTAAATTGTCTCCACCAGGCTTTTTGGTGGCCTACCATATAGTCATCCTTGTGATTATTCCCAGGCTACTTGAAAGAAATACATTCTCTATTTTGAGAGTGCAGAGTTTACACACACACACATACACACACACACATGCATATAATTATATGTATGTTGCTATTATTATTATTGATTGTTTAGGTATCCCTGGGCTGAGATTAAGTTAAAGTTTCATATTACTAGTATGATTGTCTCTTTTTTTCACATATCAATTGTAACTACTTTGATATCATATACATGTTTGATATTGGTTCAGTCATTTTATTTTATCCTTTACTTTTATAATTAAAGTTTTTAATGATACATTGTATTTTCTTTTTTCTGGTGACCTCCATTATAATGATAACTTTATATAATATTTGTAGTTTTCTCTGTCTTTAGACAGGATCTATATATTTCCTACTCTGAACAGTGGCAAAATTTTATTTTCCCTTCCCCCTTTTCTTCCCCTGTCTGATATTTATCAATAGTATGATCCTTCTCAGTGTTTACCTTAGTACTCAGAGGTATGCTGAGATCAAATAAATGACATCTTTTGGTCTCCTTTAACAGTTGGGGCAAACATTAAACTACCTTTTTCCTTCTATCACCTTTGACCTTCCTTTATGTTAGCTGAATTATTTTCACATTGCCAGGGTATTTACATTCAGTTTGGTGTCTAATGTCACATAAGTTTTAGGCTTTTTGCTTTAATTAAATACAGTCAATGCTTACATCCAGTCCTTTGCTGTAAAATTTTTAGACATCTCTTGCTGTTTGAAATTTGATTCCTAGTAGTTTCCTCAAAAAGAGACCATGAACATTTCTTGAGTTGTTTCCTATTTTTAAAACTATTTACCTGTAGGCTTTTTCTGTGAAGAGTCGTCTGGTGAATATAAAAGTTTTAGTTTACACTTCCTTTCCTTGAGGATCTTATAGTTTTTATTTCATCACCTGAAGCTGATTTTTTTGTAGAGAAGTTTGAAGCCAAAGTGAACTGTTTTGTCCCTATAGGTGACTTGATGTTTACACCTGTTGGTCAAAGGAATCTATATTTTCTTTTTACAGTCAAGTAATTTTATTATAATATGTCTTACTATTGACTATTCCAGGGGCAGTTTTTGCCTATTGTGTAGTATACCATTTCAATCATGTAGCTTTACGTTTTATTGTTTTCCTGAAAAGTGTGCCTGATTTCTATCTTTAAAAATCATTATTCTGTTTTCTCTGAGTATTCAAATTGTGCAAATATTGTGTCTCCCTTTCCTACTTCTCTCATTAGCATTTTCTGTGTAATTAATTGCAAGCAATTCTTTTGTAATCTCTCTTCTTTTTATTTGCTTTTTACTTTTATCCTCTATGCCAGGGGTCAGCAAGCTTTTTCTGTAAAAGGCTAGATAACAAATAGTTTGGCAGGTCACATACAGTCTCTGTTGTGTATTCGTCTCTCTCTTTCCTCTCTCTCTTTCTCTCTTTATTATCTAAAAACGTAATTTCAGCTTCTGGACCATAAACGAACAGGTAGTGGACAGGATTTGGCGCCTGAGTAATAGTTTGTGACCTTTATTCTATATCCCCACTATGCTTACCAAAATGATCATTTGTCTTGTGTTCTTTCCGACTGTATGATTTCATTTATTGTTTCTTTTTTATTAAGTTCTGTAAATTATGTTTTATTTCATTGTATCCTACAGCATCTCAGCATCTCTTCATAAATGTTTGTATTTATGGATTAGAGTCTTCTTTCATAAAAATGACTTTTTTCATTGAGTTTTTTAAAATGTATGTATAAATGCGTATGTTTAATTGCCTTCTGATGTGCATTTTTCTTTTTTTTTTTTTTTTTTGAGACGGAGTTTCGCTCTTGTTACCCAGGCTGGAGTGCAATGGCGCGATCTTGGCTCACTGCAACCTCCGCCTCCTGGGTTCAAGCAATTCTCCTGCCTCAGCCTCCTGAGTAGCTGGGATTACAGGCACACACCACCATGCCCAGCTAATTTTTTGTATTTTTAGTAGAGACGGGTTTTCACCATGTTGACCAGGATGGTCTCAATCTCTTGACCTTGTGATCCACCCGCCTCGGCCTCCCAAAGTGCTGGGATTACAGGCTTGAGCCACCGCGCCCGGCTTTTTCTTTTTCTTTTTTCTAATTTACAGCTTTGGTGAGATACAGTTGACAAACAGCAGCACAAAATTCCAGTATGTAATTTAATAGATTTTTGTATATGTGTAATAATCAAGATAATTAACATACTGATTATCTCCAAAAGTTTCCTTGTCTCCCCACCACCTCTCCCAACCCTGTCCCATCCCTGAGCAATCACTGATCTGCTTTCTCTTGCTGTCAATTAGCTGCATCTTCTGGAGTTTTATATTAAGTGAAATCACATAGTATGCGATCTTTTTGTCTTTGGCTTCTCTCACTTAGAAGAATTATTTAAAAACTCATCCCTAGACCAGTGCAATGGCTCACGCCTATAATCCCAGCACTTTGGGAGGCTGAGGTGGGAAGATAACCTGAGGTCGGGAGTTCAAGACCAGCCTGACCAACATGGTGAAACCCCATCTCTACTAAATATACAAAATTAGCTGGGCATGCTTGTAATCCCAGCTACTCAGGAGGCTGAGGCAAGACAATCGCTTGAATCCAGAAGGCGGAGATTGCGGTGAGCTGAGATCATGCCATTGCAGTCCAGCCTGGGCAACAAGAGCAAAACTCCATCTCAAAAAAAAAAAAAACTTATACATATTGCTGTGTGAATCAAGAGTGCATTACTTCCTATTACTTAGTTTTCCACTGAATGGACATGCCATAATTTGTCCTTTCACCTCTTGATGGTCATTTGGATGGCTTCTAGGTTTTGGCAATTACAACAAAGCTACTTACTATAAGCACACAAGTACAAGTTTTGAAGAGGACATATGCTTACATTTCTCTTGACTAGTACCTAGAATATCTGGGTCACATGATAGGTATATTTTTAACTTTTAAACTGCCAAACTAGGCTTACTCCTTTAATCCCAATCCTTTGAGAGGCCAAGGCAGGAAGATCCCTTGAGGCCAGGAGTTTGAAGCCGCTGTGAGCTATGACTGCGCCATTGCATTCCAGCCTGGGCAACAGAGAGACCCTGTCTCAAAAAACAAAGACCAAAACCAACAAACAAAAAACCCTGCCAAACTGTTTTCCGAAGTCATTTTACCATTTTACATTTTCAATCGTTGCTCTATATCCTAAGTCAACATAGTGTAATCAATCATTTTAACTTTATCCATTGTAGTAAGTGTACAGTGGTATCTCATTGTGGTTTTAATTTGCAGTTTCCTTAATGATTAATGAAATTGACACTTTCCATGTTTATTGGCTATCTGCATGTCTCGTTTGGTGAAGTACCTGCTCAAATGTGTCTATTTTTTAATTGGATTGTCTTATTACTGGGGTTTTTTTGTTTT